GGGGGGCAAGGACGGTGGGGGGCCCAGCAGGCGGACCCCCCCGGCCCCGGAGCAGAGCTGCCAGCACAGCTGCGGCAGCAGTGCCAGCCCTCCCCCAGAGCCAGCGCTGTGGACACCGACCTGCGGGCGCTGGGCCAGGCAGGGGTCCCGGGCAGGGGTCCCAGGGCCAGCCAGCCATGGCCCCGCACCCCCTTTCCCGGGGCCGTCCTTCCAGCCTGGCGGTGCAGTTTCCATCCTCCTGTCCCTGAGCGCTGCCATCTGCCCGCCTGGGCCACCGAGCCCCACTGCAGCCCGGCTGCTCCGCCTGACGTCTGCAGCACAGGCAGCGCCCGGCCATGCTGCTGGCATGTGCAGAGGCTCTGCCGCAGGCAGCTGCCTGCTCTGTGCACCCCTGGGCCCGGGGGGCATGGGGAGGGGGCACGGTGCGGGGTTGCTGGTCGAGGCGGTGCCCCTGCCTCACGGTCTGTGTCATCCCTGGCCCACGCCGCTGCCCGCAGCCCTCGGGGGAGGCAGCCTGCTGCCGAAGGAGGGACGCAGCCCCCGCCCCGCAGCCTGCAGGCCGGCGGCTCAGAGCGGTGCCAGCGAGGGAGGCCCATGTTTGGGGGCAGCACCGCTCGCGCAAGGAACCGCAGTGCACGGCCCCACCGGCCACGCAGTTCCCTTTGGCCTCCTCGGTGCCCCCCTCCCACGGGTGGACGCGGGGCTGCTGCAGGCAGCAGTGCACGCGTGGACAGACCCCCCCCAGGTCCTTGCTCTTCCTCTGGCTGCACTCTCCGTGCCCCTGAGCTGCCGGAGTCGGATCCCTCCCGGGACACGTCGCTCCCCAGAGCCTGGCCCCAGCCCTCCGCAGCCGGCCCTGCCAGCCCCCGGGGACCCTCCCGGGGCCAGCTGCGCCCCGGGGGAAGCTGTTTTGGCAGCGGCCTGGGGCATGCGGATTGGGCCCCGGCCAGGGATGGACTCCTTTGTTTGAAGGCAGCCCTTCCCTGGGACGGTGCCACATGGCTGCTCTCGTCAGCGCCGGCGGAGCCTGCGCTCCGTGAGGGGACGGCCGCCGCCGCGCTGGCGTGACCTCGTCCCTGCAAGAGCCGCGGTCACTGGGCGGCTCTGACCGCGGGGACGGGGTGAGGGCAGCCGGGGGGGCAGCGCTGAGGCAGGGTGCAGCTGGGCAGCCCCCGGGCCCTGCGCCGGGGGGGCAACACTGCCCACCGCCCCGCCGCAGGGCAGCCCCGGCCGTGAGGCTGCAGGGCCGCTTGCGGGACGGGGCGTCACGGGGAGAGCTGTGGGAGCGGGGACACCTGGGACCCCAGCACTGCCCCGGAGCAGTGGGTGCCAGCCCCCCCGCGGCTGGCAGCCCTGCAGGCTTCTGCTCTGGTTACTGTTAAAGCCCAGCGGACGTCAGTGCGCCCGGCCCTGCCTCCCCCAGCCCCGCTGCCCGGGGCCGGCAGCTCCAGCAGGACTGTTTTTTCTCCCATAGCAGGATCTGCCCATTCCCTGTGGCTAAAAAAAGCCATCGGCTTGGCCCGTGCAGAGGGACAGCAAACCTCCTGGGCCGAGGCAGCCTCCCGGCCGCCCCAGCACACCTCCTGGCTCCCCGGCACGTTCTCGGGGTGCCCCTGGGGTGCATCACCCCCCTTCCTCCCCACGCCGGGGTCAGGCGAGGCGAAAGCCCCCTGAGGAGGTGGCGGCAGCTGCCCGTCCCGCTGGGCCCAGCTGCCCCGAGTCACGCGCTGGCAATGTCTAGGATCGCTCG